GACAGAGGCTTTTCAGCACCACTGTAATCTCATGGGACAGTCGTGGTATGCAGGGTCCATCATTGGCCAAAACATTGATACGTGGTGTGTGGCAACAGCATCATGGCAAACATCATTTATACGGTGTTTAGTCCATGTGTGCCACTACCGCAAAAATACCTACGACTAGGCAATTTACAAACAATAGAAATTGACTTCTTACATTGGTGGTTGGGGGGGGGAGGACTGATCAAAATCCAAACTCCAGACACTAGCAGATGTGATGGCTGCTATGTGCTCACAGGGAAGAAGTGAAGAACAGAACAAATTCACTCCCACAAGTCCTTGTCTGGGCGCTCTAATCCAGTCTGCGAGAACTCCAAACTCACGGCGTGATCACCTCTCCCATCCAAGCACTAAGAAAGTTTATCTCACGTAATAAAGTGAGATTGGACACATTCGAGGTGGTAAGGTAATAAATGTGCCTACTTCTTAACACTTCCACGTTGATGACTGAATTTAGACATCCGAATTTGGGAAAACAGATTCTGACCGTGGCTGACTTATTATTTTGTGCTACACATATGTTTGAATGTCTCTTATTAACAAGGCTATCTGGGAAGCACAACAATGAATGGGACAAAGTTCATAGCTCACTGGGAGATGAAGAAGAGACACAAGTGTCGAGAATAGAAACATCCACAAACAGTGGGAAAGTGCTTTAGTCAGACACAAGCAGCGGCAATCCTGGACGGCTCTCTGGAATCCATAGTGTTGCTTCCAGGCTTACCAGGATGAGATTTTTCAAGAATCAAGATGGATTCTAGTCCATTCCAGGCAGAAAGAACTATAGTTAAAAATACAAGGCCTACTAGCTCAGGTCAGCTGTTTCTGTGGGTGTCCCAATCATGATCTTGACCTTTTTGCTCATATTATCACTCCTCCCTCTCTTCGACTGGTCTCCAGAGCTTGGCCCAGTGTTAGCTGTGGATCTCTGCCTCTGCTGCCATCAGTTGCTGGACGAAGGTTCTATGATGACAATTAAGGTAGTCATCAATCTGATTAAATGGGAAGGCCAATTCAGGCCTCCTCTCCACTATTGCTTACGGTCTTAGCTGGGGTCATCCTTATGGATTCCTGGGAATTTCCCTGGTGCCAGATTTCATGCTAGCCCCATAATGGCTACCACAATGAAGACATCTCTTTCCTTGCTCTACACCTCTGTCCTTCCCCCATCTCAACTTTCCTGTTCCCTCATGTTCCCTTCTCCCCTCCCCCTCCCCTTCCACCCTCCTTCTCCCTCCCATGCTCCCAATTTTCTCAGGAGATCTCTGTCTCTTTCCCCTTCCCGGGGGAATCCACGTATGTCTCTCTTAGGGTTCTCCTTATTACTGATAGTAGGGGATTCTGCATAGGACCAAACTAGGCCTTCTGGATGTGGGTGACAGTTGTGTGGCCGGGGCAGTCTATGGGACCATGGGCAATGGGACCAGGATTTATCCCTATGCTTGAACTGGCTTTTTAGAGCCCATTCTTTTTGAAGGGATACCTTGCTTAGCCTAGATATAGGGAGGAGGGCCTTAGTCCTTCCTCAAAGTGGTGTGCCAGACTTTGTTGACTCCCTATGGAAAGCCTCACCCTCTCTGTGGAGTGAATGGATGGCTGGGGTGAGGAGGAAGGAGGGAGGAGTAGGGGAGGGAAGGGAGTAGGTACTTAAATAGGTATGTAAAATGAGAATAGGTTGTTTTAAAAAAATAAAAATAGAAAATAGACAAGGTCCAGCAAAGAGTGGGGAGTTAGGTTTTATTATAGCATTATAATCTAGAGAAAAGGTTTTAAATTAACTTTTTTAACATGGATGATGATAAACTATCCTATGGAAAAAAATATGGAACTTAGGATTCCTAAAATAGAAGTCTGATTCTGCCACGGACTTCCTTTGGGACCTTGAATAATTTACTCAATCCTGAGCCTCAGCTACCTCAGCTGAAACATAAGATCACACAGTCAATCTTCGGGTACACATAAAGTGGTGTCTGTTCAGCCAGATGCCCAAGTATTTATTCAACAGTTTTGAAAGAAAGAAAAGATGAGCACTCCCTCAGGTAGCAGTTCCCAGGCTTTCTTATAGCACTTGAAGCATGGTCAGTATTCACCCAGCTGAACATTATCCTGGAGTTAATCTAGTAATCTGAGTGCATCCCTTTCTTTGTACTTGGCACAGACCTTCAGCAGGGATTTATGTTAAATTTCCTTACTAATCATGTCTTGTTTCACCTATACGCTGGCTGCCCCTTGAATTAGCTTGGCTCAGAATGGTTACAAGGATTACATGTGCAGACCATTCTGTTAAAATTGTTATATTACCATTGACACTAGAGCCATAGAGGCTGAGGAGAGGTAATTTAGGAAGACTATTTCATAACGAAAGCAAAGGGTCTAAAGTTCTAAGATAAAAAGAACGGCTCTGGGAATAGGGAAGAAAGGATAGATTCTTAGAGTGTGTGTAGAAATGGGATCCCCAGGTCTCAGCTTCTCACTGCTGTGTAGGAAGGAAAAGAGGGGCTGAGCTCTGTCTCTGGGAAAGCTGTAAGATCATGAACACACTAACTGGTGGAGAGGAGAGGAGCAGGTCTGAAAGGGAAGCCAGCGGCTCCATCTGGGTCACACACAGTTTGAAGAGCAAGTAACAGAGCAGCTAGGCAGAGAAAGACACCAGGCAGTTATAATTTCAATCCATTCAAGAAAGAAATGAGTGCCCATGCAGACTTGGTGTGCCCTGTGACTCTATGGACTGGTCTTCAGGAGGCCAAGTCTCAGCACTGTGAACACAGTGAAGCTGAACAGAAGGACGGGAAAGTGAGGGGACTGGGAAGGAAAAGAGGCCCAGGATCGTCCAAGGATCTGGTTTGCCTGTTGGGCTGACAGTCGGGAAACTTCAGACATAGAAAGTCAAAATTGCCTACAGAGACAATATGTGAGTTCCTAAAGACACCTCAAGGAAGAACGTTAAAGACAGTAAATAAACCGGGCTTACTGGGGAGCCTACATTTGGCATTTTCTCTCACTCCTACACCTAAAACATGCCCCCTTATAAATCCACATCACTTGGGTATGTTCTTTAACAAATGCCTATGCTGCTTCATACTGGCTCAAACCTGAAATCCTTTTATTACTTATTTTTTTAATGGAGAAGCCAAGAATTCTGATTTTGCCCGAATGGAGATTCCTAAAGAGGAAGGGAACACCTCAGACGGCAGCTTCTGTAGCATCCTGTCCCTGTGTGACTGATGAAACCCGGGGCTAATCCCACACTCTACACCCTTCTGTTAAGGGTCTATGAATCACTTGATAAGTTCCCATACTCCTGACTTTTACTTACTGAGTATGGCAAGCAGAATACTGACAAGACAAAAGACACCCACATCCTAACCCTGCAACTTATGAATGCTCTGTTCCATCCCCTGGCCCTTGGGACCAAGACCCCAAAGAGAAACATCCTCAAAAGATTCGCATGCAGTAGCAAGCACAGGTACCACATACAACAGCTGCGAGAAAGATCAACCACACCTTCCCCTGGGAATCACAGCACCTCACGCTGTGCCTGGGACCATAGTTGGTACAACATAAATATCTGAGAACACTGTGGGTTTGCACTTTGTCGTTGCCATATATAAATTTTATAAAATTTTTCTAATATCCTCTAATTCTCCTTAGATTTTTCTGGAAGAAGAAAAACTTCTCATTTAAGAAGGTTGTTGCCAGGGAACCTATAACATGCAGCAGAGGAAAAGAACTGCCATGCAGTGTTTCAGTGATCTGCATTTACCCCAAGAGGCTTTAATGTGCCCAAATGTATATCCCTTTGCAAGGCTGAGTTGCAGAATTCAAAACTACTTTGTTGACTGGATCTAACAGCTTGAACACATGCATGGCTGCTATAACTGGCTGAGACTCAGGAGGCAGGAATCAGGAACAACTGTTCGCTCTTCCATGTCCAGACACTCCTTGCCAACCAAGGGAAATCCCCAACCACATTTAGCATGGGTAAGTCTCCAACCAGCCCCCTTTTCTATATTATGAGTCAGGAAGTGTAGGGAAGGTGCCCAGAAGACGAGGCAACCCAATTTCATACAGCTAAACAGAGAGATTCCCCTACCATAATATGGGGAAACTGGGTAGGAGTTTATACTACTGAGCCAAGGGATGGCACTCTGAGATTCTTTTTTTTTTCAGACCAATCTTTTATTTCTTTTTTTATTCATTTATTAAAGATTTCTGTCTCTTCCCCCCCCCACCGCTTCCCATTTCCCTCCCCCTCCCCCAATCAAGTCCCCCTCCCTCGCCAGCCCAAAGAGCAATCAGGGTTCCCTGCCCTGTGGGAAGTCCAAGGACCACCCACCTCCATCCAGGTCTAGTAAGGTGAGCAACCAAACTGCCTAGGCTCCCACAAAGCCAGTATGTGCAGTAGGATCAAAAACCCATTGCCATTGTTCTTGAGTTCTCCTTGTCTGCAATGTTCAGCGAGACCGGTTTTATCCCGGGCTTTTTTCAGACCCAGGCCAGCTGGCCTCAGTGATAGAACATACCCATTGTCTCAGTGTGTGGGTGCACCCCTCGCAGTCCTGAGTTCCTTGTTCGTGCTCTCTCTCCTTCTGCTCCTGATTTGGACCTTGAGATTTCAGTCCGGTGCTCCAATGTGGGTCTCTGTCTCTGTCTCCTTTCATCGCCTGATGAAGGTTAATATTCAGGAGGATGCCTATATGTTTTTCTTTGGGTTCTCCTT